GTGAAGAGCTCAGTGTGAGTTGGGAGATGTCCAAGGCGGGCACAAACCTCTCCTCTGCACTCAGGGAGCTTTGCTTGTGAGTCTAAGGGTCTGGCCAAGGATATCGAAGTCTGCTTTGGTTGTTTTGCTACGCATGACAGATGGAGTGACATACACTCATTCATGTGCCTGCAACATCTAACTCCTCTCCTTTTGGCATTTGTGAAACCCTAATCCTTATGGCTGGGGGAGGAGATGAGATGCAACACTGAGAACTCAAGGTAGTGTAGAGAGGTCAGCAGAGATTGCCCTGAGGCAAGAAGAGGGGTTCTTGCCTCAGTAGGGGAAGCTGGGCCCAGCTGGAGTCCTGGGTTGTGGAGAGGCCTGGTTCAGAGTGGCTTCTGCTCCCTGGTGTTCCAGATTCAAGGATTTCCATGAGCTGGAGCCAGAGAAGTTCCAGAACAAGACGAATGGGATCACACCGAGGCGCTGGCTCCTGCTCTGCAACCCTGGACTAGCTGACATTATTGCTGAGGTAAGTCACAAGCTTAGGCTCTTCCTACTGTTTTCATCTGCTTGCCTCTTCGTGTCAGCCTGAGCGGAGCCCAAGCCTAACTCCCGGCAGCTGTGAGCAGAGTCTGGTACGACCCGAGCTCTGAAGTCATGAGCTTTAAAGATGGAGAATTTGAGAAATTTGGGCCTGTTTCTGTCGCCTCGTGGTGTCTACAAACAACCTGTGGGGCAGTGTCATGTTCTGTGGAAACAGGTATYCACAAAAGCATCCAGCTTCACAGACAGAAAGGGCTTTCTAAGAAGTCCAGCTGCAGCCTTGGGTCCTTTGTGAACCAGGCCTTGGAGGAGCAGCTTTTCCTTCATACTGAGACGTGCAATGGTTGAAAAACATCCTGCAAATAAAAGTAGTTTTAAGCTCTGCCATTCAGCTCCTCCAGCTACCAGGAAGCCCTGGTGTGTGCAGACATGCTTCCTCTAAACTCCTTTGAGGAAAAAGGGACTTCTTTGTGTTTTTGCATGTATCCATTTTCACCCGGACCTCCCAAGTGACACAGAGCAGTAACCTCACCAAGAAAAAGAAGCTGTATTCCCTTTCCTGCCTTGAGTGTCTCTTCATCCCCTTCCTAGTGGATTCATGGCATCTGTCAGGGAAGCATAATTGTATACTGGGTGAGAAGACTTAAAGGTGGGACATTGCTGTCTTGGTTTGTTCCTTTAGCAAATCGGAGAAGATTTTATCACGGATCTGAGCCAACTGAAGAAGCTACTGGATTTTGTCGATAATGAGACTTTCATCAGGGACGTGGCAAAAGTCAAACAGGTAACGTGGTTTGGGTGTGGGAAGAAGGGGAAAGAGCACGTTCCCAGGAACRCCCCTGCAGTGAACACTCCTGTCTGATACAATGCCCAGGAGCCCATGCCTGCTTCTCATCGGGTTTCCTTGGCAGGAGAACAAGCTGAAGTTCTCAGCCTACTTGGAGGAGAAGTACAAGGTGAAGATCAACCCCTCCTCCATGTTCGACGTTCAGGTGAAGCGAATCCATGAGTACAAGCGGCAGCTACTGAACTGCCTGCATGCCATCACCCTCTACAACCGTAAGTGCTGCCCAGGGCTCCTCACAAAGTCCCTCCCTGATGCCACCTTGGGTGCCGACGGGTGGTGCGGAGCGGGTGCATCAGTGCAGGCTCCTGAGCCTGGCTATGCTCTCCTGTCATGAGGGGCTCCTCCCCAGGAGGAAGCCCTGAAAAGGGTCACGCAGAGCTCCAAAGAGGAGGGCTCATCTCCAGTGGGAGCAGCGAGCTTTGCCAGTTCACCATGGCTTCAGCAGAATGACTCTGTGCTCTTTCAGGCATCAGAAGCAATCCATCCCAATCCTTTGTGCCCAGGACTATCATGATTGGAGGAAAGGTAAAAACGCGTCCCAGGCTCAGTAGCTGTGTGGCTCTGGTGGGATGGGGAAGGTGCTGCCTCTTTGCAGGGGCTTTGCTGGCCTCCCGTTGGGTTAGCCAGCACATTCTGTGCTGGTGGCTCTTCAGGAAATGCTTTCATGGACTAATTGGGCCAGAAAAGGCCCCATCCTTCCCTCCCTGTGGCTCAGGACTTCTCCTTCCATTAAGGTTTTTCTGCTGATTTGCGTGACCAGCAGAGGTGAGGCCCAGATTCTCTCTGCAGGGAGGACCTGCGCTGGCACCTCTCATGTTCTCCCTTCCTTAAAAGCCTTCACCCTTTCTGGGCTGCTCTTCTTCAGGCAGCCCCTGGCTACCACATGGCCAAGATGATCATCAAACTCATCACATCCATTGGCGAGGTTGTCAACAATGATCCCTATGTGGGGGACAAGCTCAAGGTCATCTTCCTGGAGAATTATCGGGTATCCTTGGCTGAGAAAGGTATGTCCATAACTTCCCATGGAGGGGATGGCAGCGGACGCACATGGTGGTTGCATCTCAGCCAGGCCTGGTGTTATGGCTGGCCCTGAGCTGTGTGGGCTGAAGCTGTGATGAGTTAGCAGGGTTTCTAGCAGATGCCCCGAGCTGCTCTGCTGTCCTGGGCCCCGGGCTGTGGAAAGCTGTGGCTAATTCCCACCTCTCTTACACCTGGCAGCGATCCCGGCAGCTGATCTCTCCCAGCAGATCTCCACAGCTGGCACCGAGGCCTCAGGCACTGGCAACATGAAGTTTATGCTGAACGGGGCCCTCACCATCGGCACCATGGATGGGGCCAACGTGGAGATGGCCGAGGAGGCGGGCGAAGAAAACCTCTTCATCTTCGGCATGCGAGTGGAGGAGGTGGAGGCCCTGAATCGCAGCGGGTTGGTGCTGGGAGAGGGAGACACGTGCCGGGGCCAGTCAGATGGGGCTACGCTGGGCATGGACACAGGCCGTGGCGAGCAGCGGACGCTCGGAGGGTCTCCCCTGGAGTGGAGAGGGATGTATCCGGAGGCGCTGCTCTCCGTGGGTGCTGGGCTGCGGGACGGCGGCCGCGCGCCTCCCTCCTGATGCTCCCCTGGGCGCAGGTACAACGCGCGGGAGTACTACGAGCGCTTGCCAGAGCTGCGCCAGGCCATCGACCAGATCAGCAGCGGCTTCTTCTCGCCTCGAGAACCCGCTTGCTTCAAGGAAGTCGTCAACATGCTCATGAGCAACGACAGGTGAGGCCTGGCAAGCGGCCGGCGGGGCCTGCGCTCTGGCAGCCCCATGGCCTCACTCTGCCTTGTCGGCCTTCAGGTTTAAGGTGTTTGCTGACTACGAAGATTATATCAAATGCCAAGGCCAAGTGGACAAGCTGTTCTTGGTAAGCAGCTCCAGGGCTTCAGGGGAGCGGGGAGGAGCTGGGCTCAGCTTGCTGCAGGGGAGGCCAGCTTGCAGCCACTGCGGGAGCGGGTCGGCCTGGGGGAGAGCGCTGCATGTTTGGACTCACTAGTACCCGCTGCGCCCCAGCTGGTGCCCTGCACGGCTGAGAGCCCAGGCAGAGCTGGGGGCAGGACGAACCGYGCACGATTCCCTCTGCTCTTCGCAGGACCCCCGGGAGTGGACCAGGAAAGTGATCAGGAACATCGCGTGCTCGGGCAAGTTCTCCAGCGACAGGACCATCATGGAGTACGCCCGGGACATCTGGGGCGTGGAGCCGTCTGCTGTCCCAATGCCCCCTCCCGACCAGCCCCAGGAGTGAGTGGCGGGCAGGCCCGCGTGAAGGGCTCCCAGCTCGGGCGGCCTCCCTGCCCTTCACGGAGACTCGGCTCTGCACAAATGAGGCCTTTCGGCTTGGAGGGGGGAAGGAGGACAGCGTTCCCAAGAGGAGCCCTGGCTGCCAGGAGGAACAGGAGCGGGGTCGCAGGCTAAAGCACCTTCCATTTAACCCTCGTCCCCGGCCCGCATGTCCCTCCTAGCGCTTCTAGGGAGCCCAGGGCTCCCCATCTTCCTGCAGCTGTGCCCCACGCTTGGCGGGGCACTCGCCCCCCGCACGCCCCCCGGCACCTTTGGCCCTGCCCCACCAGCACATTTAGGCAAGGGACGTGTCCTGCACCTGCCTGAGGGACACGGAGGCAAGGGTGGCTCCCACAGAGCACGAGGGGCTGCTCACGGTGGTAGTGCAAAGCAGGCAATACTTGGTTGAAAAAAGAAATACTCCCGGGGGGTACTGGGAGTATTTTTGAGCATTTAGGTGCCACACGTAGCAGAAACTCCTGCACTGGCACAGCCTCACGGCAAGAGCCTGCTGCAGTCACTGCCTGGCTGCCCCGGGCCTTGGTCCTTGAGCCAGCGTGGCCCCTCAAAAGGTACCTGGCACAGTTCCTCCTCCCACAGCTCGTCACCTAGTTAGTTTGTTTAAAAAAAGTAATTAAAAGCCTAGTGGCCAACCCCTCCTAGGCTTTTATTGTTTGTTTGTTGGTTTTAGCAGCCGTAGGCACACGCAGTGGGTTGGCTGGTGCTGCTAGTCTCGCACTTCCCCCTTGTAGGTGACCCTGTGAGATCCTCACCCAGGTCCCGTCGCCRGCCCAGGGCCACGTTTAACACCCCTAGTGCTGCGTAGTGCACCCGTACACCTCTGTGTGATGGCAACTCATTAAAACAACTACAACCGGCCTCGCTTTGGTCTCCTGCTGTGCATCCACAGGCTCCAGTGTGGCTGTGTCCCCCACACCGGCTCCATGGGGGACAGGGGCTGGCCCTGGCTCTTGSGGTGAACAGGCCTGCCCCGTCTCCAGCAAAGCAAAAGCGGAGCCACAGTGAGCAGCAGTCAAGGCTTTTTATTAAAACTACACCACTTCCCATAAACACTTCAGTTTCATTCCCAAGCACGGCACTGTGTGGGAAGCGGAAGAGCCCGGCCTGTCCCGCCGGGAGGGCCATAGTCCCTGCCACAGGCCGGGCACCCGCAGCAGCCTCGGCTGCCCCACGCGGCCACGGCAGTGCCTCTGCTCCGTCAGTGCAATAAATATAAGTGCATCAAACATAATTTAAGTGGCACGGTTAGCTTATAAGTATCGGGGGTCAGAAACCTCAGGGATAACCGCGCTACGGCAGAAGAATCTCACTATGAGCACAAGCTACTATCCGCTTTGCAGCTCTAACGCGGCGCATGCTGAGCGGCTTCGACGATGCTGCAGCAGCCCGTGCTAGCGAGCGGCCTCCCGAGGCGCCTTGAGCTCCAGCAGCTAAAGCTGCAGCACCGGGTAGTGCCCGCACAGATGGACGAGGGGGTGAGGGCCACGGCCCCAGCTGGACACTGAGGAGCCGGCAGCAGGGCCCTGTCCGGCTCCGTGTGGAGCTCGAGGGGCTCCGATCCGCRGCCGCCTCCCGGCCGCTGCGCTCCAGCACACGGCAGCACGATGGGCTCTCCAGGCATCAAGAACTGCGCTCCAGCGCCTGCTTTCAGCTACAAGGAAACAGCCTAACCACTAGGAACAGGAAAACCTGTCATAAGGAAATAAAAGGCTGATGCAGGGGCGTTTAAAAAAAAATAAATAAATAAAAGGGAAAAAATAAAAGGCCCTTTCCTACTCCCAAGGAAGCCTGTCGCCATCTGCACACGTGCAGGGAGAATGGAAGACAACTGGCCTGGACATTTGTGGAGAGGGGAGATCAGGTAGAAAGCAGTGCCCCGCTCTGCTGTGAATGCCCAAGTTCACAATTCGCCTACAAAAAAATCACTTCAGTCTCAAGCAAGAGTGTATGTGAAGAAGGACAGGAGCTTCCTAAAGCACAAACAGGAATGGGAATGTTCAGAAAGAAATGCRTCCAGAAAAGGTAAAAGGGCTAATATTTTCCATTAAATACATGTTTGAAATGAAGAGGAAAAAAAAAAMCCCTAAATTTTATTTCCAAATGTGTGCAATTAGCTCAACTCTGACTGAAGAGCCAAATAAAAACCCTGCTCACTACTCGGCTCTTAAGCATGTTGCRATTACAGCCACTTAGCAAAAAGGAAAGGCTAAACACATATTTCCTTGGAAGAACAAGCACAACAGCTGTGGCATGGAGACATGGAAAAAGCCATCTGCCAACAGCAAAGGAGTCCGTGTGATCCCAAAAGAGCAGCAACGTTTAAAGGTGAAAGAAACACCCTTGGTCCTGACACGCGTGTCCTAGGAATGTCTGTCCTCAGCAGCACCATGCCACACGGGCAAGGCTCTGTTGTGCTCACTTTTTGTTTTGTTTTGTTTTTCCCTTGTTTGGTACCAGCTCCTGRGTTGTTTTTACTCCTCCGTTTCTATCAAAGCAGAAACCTGCAACTTCTTTCTTCTGCCACCGCGGAAGCTGGGAGTCAGGGTTGCCAAAAGGTGYGGGCCAGGGCCAGCGCGGGAGCCCCGGCCTCCTCCGTGCCAGGGGATGGAAGAACGGCGGACCAAGCCACGGACAGGAGGGCAAAGAAGAGGAGGGAGAAGAAASGGAAAGAAAGGAAAAACTCGGTGCTGCCAAGCAGCCGGTCTTCAGGGATGATGCTCGTGTTCCGATTTTCCCAGGAATTCCCTGGAAGGGGAAGGACACAGGAGTGACTCTCGAGGTCAGAGCACTCACAGCTACAGACAACCGAAAGGTTGAAGGGTTTCCCTTCGCAAAGGCCCTTCCCAAACGCCGGCCCCTGTGCCCGGCCCTTACCGCAATATTCGAGGTAGCTCTGGGCTCCTGTAGATGTACTTGTGCCGGTAGCCGAGGTCGGTGTGGAACGGGACGAACTGCACCTTGTAGTCTCGGAAACTCCGCGACGTGGCGGCGATGTTGTACAGCTGCGTGCGGGCGCGCGCAGGCAGTGCAAGGGCTCACGTCACCCCAAACCAGCAAACTGCCCCTGCCAGCTCCCTCCTCACGAGTGGCTTACGAGCCCTGGCTTGACCAGGCTTGTGCCTTGAGCTGGGATCACTATGATTTGCCACCCGTAGTACCACAAAATTTGCACCCTCTGAGCTACGCGCCTCTGTGCACGTCCTCCAAGCACGGTCTTTTTGCCTGGCTTCCCTTCCGCCACATCAGTCCGCAGTCACCTACCTTTTTTCCCAGATGAAACGGTACCACGGGGTCATCCTCAGCATGAAGGATGAGCAGGGAGCAGGAAATGTATTTCACACTGTCAAACAGAGGAAAACATTACCAAAGCTCAGAAGGACATCCGTGTCAGACCTCACACACCAGAGCACCGGGTTGTCTTCCTGGAGGGAGAAACGCCCAGCTGCCCCACGTCCATCGGCTGCGGRCCCGTGACTTTGACCATGGGACTTAACCAGGAGGAACTGTCATTTAAGGAAGCTTTAAATTCCTCCTCTTCCCTGGCCAACCTGCAACCCCCAGCTACTTTCCCCACCCTGACTAAGCTCTGCTGAGTGACACTGAGTGCTGAGCTCCAGCAGCAGGCGTCCCGGATGCCTTTTCCTCCCTTCCCAAAATTACCCCTGCTGCAGAGAGCTCCGTACTGACATCAAATGTACCTGAAAGAAACAGCATGTAGAACAACTGCAAGGTTTCAAAGGAGCTAGGAAGGGTGGGCTGGCCCCCATTGAGCTCCCAGGACTCTAACGCCAACACACTCGGATTTTCAAAGAAACTCCAGGGACAAACCCTTTGCAGGTCATTCACTGCAGTTTAGATCTCAAATGCTATTTGCTGGGCACCGTTAGCTTGATCTATAAAAGGTCAATGAGCAAAGAGCATCCTTGGAAGAACTCTTTTGCTTTTCAGACAACGGAAAAGTGGCTCACCCCACTGTACTGCAAGGTCATCAAGCACCTTATTTGATTTTCGTACAGGAGGCCAAGCTCCTAAGTGCTCAGGCTCTTGAATAAAGGCCTCAGTGTGTTGTTACTGGGCATCAGTATTYAGGTAAATGCACAACAGACAGATCTTCCCACACTTTCAATGTCCTTATGCTGCTCCTTGATGTGTAATGTACATATGAAAGGCAAATGCAGGAGATCATGGACTGCATTAGCATATCCCTGTGCAGTTTCTATGCTCTCCTTTAGGTCTTTATTAAAAAAAAAAAAAGAACAACTAAAACAGGCCAAAAATCACAGTGAGAGAAAGAGCTCCCCTGTGCAAAGCCATGTTGCAGCCATGACTGCAAGAGTTGCTGAAATTCCTTTGAGATGTTTATTGCTCCATCAGCAAAGGAATGGAGCGTGCAGGTCTGTGCCCCTCCAGGATCCTTGGCGTCTGCCCTGGCTCGCTGCAGCCCTGACTGAACCCCCCCAAAAACAGAGAACTCACTTCTCATCATTTGCAAATTTAATTCCACTCGTCGTGATAGGGTCAAGGAAGAACCAGTCAAACCCAGGGAAGTATCTGTATATCTGAGAAAAAGAGCTGGTGTCAGCGGCAGGCATCAGCAGGACAGCGACACAAACCACCCCCTTCCCCTCCCTCCTCTTTCTAGTCCCAGCTCCTGCCCTTTTCTGCCAGCCCCCACAGACGACCTGGGTGCTGCTTATTGCACTGGGAGCCCCTCATGGTGCCAGGTCCCCCGAGCAGCCACTTGGCCGTGCGAGCCATGGCCTGGGGGGCGCAGCCCCAGGCCGCGAGCGCGGGGACCCCTGGGTACTTGCCACAGAGAAGGGGTGACTCCGGGCCTCCTCACGTATGTTGGTGAAGGGGGATTCCAGGATGAGGGCATCCGGCGGCGTTTCTGCAAAGCCAAAGGCATCGTGAAGCGCATGGATGGGGCACATGGACAATGTGGCCGGGGTCTGGCCYGAGGGAGCGGCTGCCACCAGCACACACCGAAGGCGACAGCACCGCGGCCGCAACGCCGGCGCCGAGACACGTCTGCCCTCCACACTTACCTCTCTCGCAGAGGCGCCTCACCAGGTTTGTTGCAACCCTGGAAAGAAGAACAACGGGGTTTTAAGTTGGTGCAGATCCTTTGCAGAGCACCAAAACCTGCGACCCGCTGATCCCCGAAGATGCACAACCGGAGCAGCRCTCTTGTCCAAACGCTCAGTGCGACTCAGGAGCCGCTATGTCCCTGCAGGACCAGACCTTACCCCGTGCCCAAGGAGTGCCCCCATATGTAGACAGGGTTGTCGCCACTTCTTGCTTTTATCCAGTCAAAGACGTGCAGGGCATCGTAGGTCATTCCCCTCTCGGATGGGCTGCCTATGGAGTCGCCCCAGCCTGAAACACAAGCAGTCCCTGTAAGAATTGCACGTGTTGCCCAGCAAAACCAGCCTTTTTTTTTTGCTGAAGAGCAAACACACCACAACCTTTCTGCTAGCTAATAAGTGGCCACAGAAGCTATTGCCAGGACTGAAAAAAATAATCCTGCCTGGCAAGCTCCTACAGAGAAACTTTTCTTGAATTCTTGATCAAGATGTGAAGGGGGAAATTTTCTTCCTCTRTGCTCAGTGGAACTGAACTGCAGCCACGGTTTAAATATTAAGAAGGAGAAAAACAGCTGCAGATGTTAGGTGAGCAGAGCTGCAAAGTGGTCCCAGCTTCYACTGAGGATGGGAGTAATGAGGCTCCAGTTGCTTCAGTGAGGAAAAAAACTGGGCAAAGCCTCCGTCTGCCAAAAAGGCACGAGTCCCCTTCCCTCTTCCACTGCAGCAGTTAAAGACTGAGTATCCCCAGTAAAAGGGCAGTGAGGGAGGGCAGCAACAGAAAAACTAGGGAAGCCCTCAAAGCTGTGCCAATGCCATGCACAACAAAGCAGGGGTACGGGGAAAGAAAACATCTTTTAAGCTCTTCAAAGCCCCGTGGGGGAAAAAGAAAGGGCACCTACATCCAGTCAGCTCGCAGCAAGTGCTTACAAAACAACAGTCTGACGGAGGTCAAAGCACTTGCTTCTACAGAAAAAGAGCACTAAAAAGTTTTTGTAATTAAAAAAACCACCCCAAACCCTCCAAGCCGCACTGCACCCCACCTACCTCGATAATCAAACGTGACTACATGGTAGCCCAGGGAGCTGAGAACCTGCAGGGGAGAGAAAGATGCAGAACCCCATGACAAACCTGTCCCCAGCAGGCATGTCCCCAGGCCAAGATGCAGAGACCTAAGTGAAACTATATTTATATGACCAGTCCAACAGGGCAAAGCAGCAACTTTCAGCTTTTTGGTACTAAGCATGTCAGATCAACAGTTTTACTCTGTGTTTTTCTTGGTCCTCAAGCCGGACTACCCTAGATGCCAATGTTACACTGAATGGAGATTCGCCCTTCTGCAGCTTTGCCTTTAAGGGCTGTGCATTTCTTGTGTCCTTTTCCCATATGCATTCCTTCAGATTTTTCATCAAAACAGTACAAGGGCTTCACTTAAGACTGCTCAAGGTTGCAGCTGGACGCTGCCCACGTGAATACACAAATGCATGAATTTTAGCCTTACATATAGGAAGCTGTTTCAGGTCCCAAAGGTTTAAGTGTATGCACTGGAAACACACAATTGCTTTATCTTAGAATTTGTCACAACCAATGGTAACCCTAACAAAACGCTAACAACAACAAAAAAGAAAGTATGTAAAAATACCCATGTTAGATCAACTTGTTTGCAAAAAGCCTCGGTAAAAACGATGACAGCATTTCAAGGTACCATCACATGGTAGGAATCCAATAGATCTACAGCCAAAAAAAGTCAAAAAGACTCAAGTATCTTTTCTCTCATGGCCTCAGAATGACCCCAGAATGATTAAAAAAGAAGCTAATATTACATTTTATTTGATGTTCAAATGAACCAAAGGAGACACATCTGATGTAATACCAAGAATTTATTTTTAGCATAACTGAAATCTTTACAGCTCAGGTTATTATTAGTTCAGATCTCATTGGTGCGGATGACTGAAAGGGAGGACATCCAGAAAAGAGAAGGGTTTAGGTAAGGTGTGATTCCAAAGTGGAATTTTGACCACTGGAGGACTACAGAGGGACTGGTTTATTGCATTTCAGTGTAGGGCCGTTTCTTCCCTCCATTTCTGACATCTCTGCACCATATGCTGTCCTCAGTGACCTGCACCTCCCGTGCTACACACCAGGTTAGCTCACACAGGGCTTTTCACATACGGTGGACAASGCATACATATATGTAAGAAGCTTTTCCTCATGTTCAAGTAGGACTTGCTGCGTTTCTGTTTGTGCCCCTTGCCCCTCATGTGGTCCCTGGGCACCCCAGGGGACATCCACAGAAAGAGGCTCCCAGGCTTTGAGGGTGGGAACGCGCTTTTGCCCCCACAAAATCTGAAGCAATTCCCTGCTTGCCTTAGGCAGCCCAAAACACATTGTGCCGTATGCCCATCCCCAGAAAAATGCCAAACTAGGTCACCATATTCAYGGCATTCACCTCAACTGTCAGGTGCAACTTCCTGCAGTTTAGCAGGTCCTTAGCTTTGAAGGGAAAAGACACAGCCACCTACTTGCCTGGGGGTGCCCAACCCCACTGCCTAAGTGACCTGAATTAAAAAGACTTGGCTGCAGGAGACCTTGCATAAGAGGGTGCTCTGCAATAAAGCTTTTCAAGGGCTAACAGTGGCACAGGTTATAAGGAGGAAGGCAGGGATGGGTGTGATGTGAGGTACTCACTGCCCACAGCTCCCCTTTCCTGTGTGCTCTGCAGGGGAGGCAGAAAGGCCCAGGCCATCTGCCTGTTGGCAGCGAGTAGCTATGGGCAGCATTAAAATCCGCACGTTTCTGAAGCCCTCATGCAGCTTCTTGGACAGCACCTGCAGCTACTTACCTTGTAAAGCTCCACACGGTGATCCCCTCCTCTGGCAAAAGTGATTCATGAAGAGAGGAGGAAGCGAGAAAGGAAAGGAAAAAAAAAAAAGAAAAAGAAAAAAAAAAAGAACATTTAAACTTYCAAAGACAGACTTTCCCATTGCCCCAAGCCTCTGGTTAAACACAAATACTCCAGACAAAAWCTGAAATTACTAAATTACTATCAGTCCTAACTGTCATTTTCATCCTTGTTACTCCCCATTTGCCCTCCCAAACASGAAAATAGAAGACAAAAAATGACCTAACTCCATCCAGACCACTTTCAGTATCATCTTATCCCTATGATTTTTTTTCCACTGTTGATAAAAATGCCTTTTTCAAYGAATCTGCCTTTCCCAAAGCCTGCAACACACACCCAACAGTCTGTCCCTGCCGGCTCTGAGATCCTGTGTGCCTGCTGCACAGACAGCATCCCAGAATGGTTGAGGTTGGAAGGGAYCTCTAGAGATCATCTAGTCCAACCCCCTGCTCCAGCAGGGACACCCAGAGCACGGGGCACAGGGCRGCATCCAGGTGGGTTTGGAAGATCTCCAGRGCAGGAGACTCCACAGCCTCCCTGGGCAGCCTGTGCCAGGGCTCTGYCACCCTCACAGTAAAGAMGTTCTTCCTCACATGCAGATGAAACTGCCTGTGTTGCAACTTACACCCATTACCCCTTGTCCTGTCACTGGCCACCCCTGAGAAGAGCTTGGCCCCCTTCCTCCCTACACTCTCCCTTCATGGACTTATTTATACACGTTAATCAGATCCCCTCTCGGCCTTCTCTTCTCCAGAGACAACCTCTCTGAGGTGAGAGGCTCTTGGATTGGAGATGGCCTCACCTGACTCTGAGCGTGGGGATAAAAAGCATGTACATGTGCAAGAGTTGACGAATTGTCTCTGTTCAGAGTCGCAGGTTCGCTGTCCATGTCTTTTTCTCCATTAATTGAAATCTAGATGCCATGTCATGTAGCTAATCCACACTCAAACTTCATTCTACTAATGCAAAACACCTCTGGGTTGCTTAAACACTTGGTCAGTTATTTGTAACATGTGAGAGCGCCAAAAAATAAAACTAATCAAAACAGAAGTAACGAAAGTGCTGGTCCCCATCTACCACCAACACAGCTGCCAAACAGCCTCCATTAGCATCATTTGCTACACGCAGTAAAAGCGAGAAAAACAAACTAAGCAGTATTCGAAACATAATGCAACCATTCAACTCAAGCTTGCAAGACCTCAGCACAAGAGAACAAGGCCGAGCTCCCAAGCCCAGTCTGCCTGAGCATGTCCTGACCTACAGCCTGCATCTCCCAGGTTATGTCTGTTGCACCAAAGAACACTGCTAAGGCAAGAAATTAGGTGAAAAAGGGAGAAGCTCCTGTGATGTAAACGCTAGTGAATGTTCACTGTGAGCTGAAACAGAGTCTGCTTTACATCAGAGACTGCGGCACAGAAAGGATGTGAGGGCGTTTCAGCCGTGATTCAGGAGCTCTGCACCTGCAGGGTCTACAAGGGGGTATCTGCTTCAGAAGAACCCAGCAGCAGCACGCGCATCTCGGACAGGATGTGACAGAAGAACATGATTTGGGGAAATATCCAGGAGTGTTTACACTGTGCTAGTTGTTTCGAGCCTCTGGAAACAAAATATGGAGAAGCTGTTCCTTTTCCAGACAAAAGTCATGTATGTACACAACAATGAAACAAATCCAGCACACCTCCCACTTTCTTTCTGGTTTTCCTTTCTCAAGATGCCTTAACTACTAAAATAAGCTCATGAAAGCAAACAGAAAATTGATTCAATGCACGTAAACCACACAAGGAAGTGCCACCACCTTCCCACATCTTGATTCAAAGACAGTTATACTGAAAAGTGGCATCTTCCTATTGATCCAGTGAGTGGCACAGCCTCCTGTCACTCTGGCAGACAGAAGACACAGGAAATAAAGAAAATCTAGCAGTAATACACTAGCAAATCCCACTTCTCTGATAACTGCCATAAATCTATTCCCACTTTCACTAAATGCAGGGAGGTTCTGTCTCTTAAAACATATTTTTCTCTTAAAAGACAGGAGGGACACCAAGCTGCTCTCAGGTTATTTCATTGGTGTGCTGAAGCTGTGGCAGGCCAGGAGAAGACAGCCCATAACACAGGCCTTGCTGCTTGTGCCTCACCTTGTTCCTGCATTGCCATGCAAGTAAAGGATTACTGGGTGGCTGGAACCCAACGCATCTTCAAACCACACTTGGTCCTTCCCATGGGCATTCTTCCATAAGGCTGCAGGGACTGTGTGCCTAGATGCAGGATGAAAAAAACCACTGTATTGTCATTTTGGTGATCGGCGTTTTCCCCATACATTTTTAGTTTTTCTGGTCAGTTTAGCGTCACATTTGTGGCACTCAGAATGACAAAGCTCGCACACACTCCCAGGTCCAGCTAGGTCAGCAGATGTTTGGAATGATCCCCTGTGTCAGTCGTTTCGGATGGGATGTTTAGTGAGTAGGATGCATGGCTGACTGTAGAAATCTGAGGAAAATAAGTGCTGATGGCCTCGGGGATTTTATTTACTTGAAGCACTCATATGACTTCCTGCTAGAAAGACAACAAACCCCATCTACCACAGCACCTTTCTCCTAGATTCAAAGTTCATAGGACAAATCACCGCTCGGAAGAATGTGTGTGCAAAAGCTACCTGGGTGCATGCAGTCAGTGGACATGGAGTTTGAGGAGGACAAAACCCCCAAGAGCTGTGGGGCTCACAGGTTGACTAAAAGATCTGCCTCAAAAAACGTGCCTGCTCAAATGGGACGGAAGAAGAGATGACTTTGGTACAGAAGTACAGGGAACACAAAACCCAACACTGTCCTGTCAAGGCAAAGTCCAAGCTTTTATAAAAACCTCTCTAATAAGTACCAAGACAAATGACATGAACTCTGAATTGCCACCAAAAGCAGGAAGACCTGTTTTGGTAAAGGTATACAGTATATGGAGAGAAAGCAAAATTCAAATATATATATATATATATATATAAAATAAAGATTTGCAATCTAAAACTACTCATCAGCTTAGCAGATAAAACTGTAATTGCCCAAGTGAAAACATCGTTTACTAGTCTAGATGGGAAAGACTGTGAAGTTTCAWCTTCTAAAAAAGTCCTTCCCTGAAATTCACTCCTAAGGAGGAACTGTTTTTATACTGCAGGCCACCCTGCCCCATTGAAAAGGTCACATACCCTCAAGTCAAGGCAAGACTGAAAAACTCCACAGATTTACTGAACACACACAGCTATGGGCACATAACAGCAAACTCCAAATCACACTGCTCACACATCTACATTCACTAGGATGAACTACTCTGGCCTGGACCAGAAATCCTTCTTTGTGAGGCAGAAATAGCAAGCGAGGCTCTAACGCTGCCGCTTGTTCTGTTAAAAGAGCAGCCAGAGCGTCCCTGTCTYACCCGCTCTCCAGAACCTTGCATATGTTTTATACACAGATTAATCTTCCTCCTACTCTGAACACTTTGATCCTGTTTTCCCATCTTCCCACACATTTATTTTGTGGAACAGAGTATGAACAGCACTGGAATGACAAAACTTTTAATTCATGGGGTCTGCTCTGACTTAAAGGCCTGATCTTTTTAGCAACCAAGAGCAGCAGCTGTTGCCGTCCCAAACTATGACGTTTTTCTGAATGTACAGGTTTTCCAATTGTGTTTTACGTGCCAGTGAGCTTAGCTCAAATAAGCTCCACAGATCTGCATACCTTTCAACATCAACTGTGTCACTTGGTAGAGAAAAATAGTCATCCACAAACAAGAGCAAGCAATGACTGCCACCACGTGTGACCGTGCACGAGCTGATAAGCAGGCAACAGTGAGAGCAAAGGGGTGACTACAGATGCACGGCACATGCTGCAGAGAACAGGGTTCCTTACCAGACTCCGACAGTTACATCCTCCTCTGGCTGCAGGTAATAGTTACAGGTGTGGTTTAAACCTTGATCCTGTGGCCTTTTCAAGTCAATGAAATATGGGACCCTCACTGGAAGAGACACACACAAAGAAACAAWCACGAGATAAAACGCTTTAATTTTTACCTTTATTTCCTTACAAAGCAGATTTACTAAGGCACCGAAAAGCTCTACAAACTGGTCCACTCTCCTGGAAAGATCTTTCTCTTTCTGTGTGAAAATATAAACAGGCAACTGCTAGGACTCAAATATAAACCTCAAAGAAGGTGAGGCAAGAGAACAGAAGCAACCAGCTCCAAAACAGGGAGTAGGCTAAAGCTCTTTTGTGACACATATTTAGCCATCTCTGCCCCATCTGCCTTGTGCAGCTTCCCCATGCGAGTCAGTCCCTCSTGCTGCATTAGTGGGGCAGGTTCATTGACTCAGCAAACTTTTTGCATCACAGCTGCAAGGCAAGTTAGCGATGTGACAAACTCACCGCGGACAAAGAGCACCGGGCAGAGCTCTAATGTGRTTTTACAGCCTCTACAATACTATGATTTAAAGGAAACAGTACATTACAGGAGCAGACAGCACATTGCTGTTGGCATGGGAGAGTAAGATAAACTGTCAAACACTGCCCTCCTCAGCCTTCGAGGAGGAGATGCAGCTTCTGGAGACTCAAATAATTGCCCACCTTCCAGACATCACAGCATTTAAAGGGGTTAATATTAAGGGGATAATGCCAGAAACATCACCTCTCTGGGAAAAGATCCCAGAAAACAAGAGGAGTCCAGCTCAGTTCACTCTTCCAAATGTTTTATTTTCCCAACCTCTGTAACACACAGATGAGCATGGCCGACACACAAGCAGCCACAGGAAAGACAAACATTGGCTTCAAGTTTTCAGCATTTTGCTTCCCGTGGCTTGGTTCACAAGCCACGTCTCACAGAAACTGAGCCATATGTTAAATGAAGGCTTACTCCAAATGTCTGGTTTCCCTTCACCGCAGCCGTGTTGCCTTTCTAGGCAACCTCTAACACATGCAAGTGATGAGAGAGATGCTACAGAAACCTACTGAGAGGATTACGCAGTTTTAAGGACTCTGTTCTCCCACTTATTTAGGCTTTTCCCATAAAATAGAGGTCCACCACAGCCTTAACAATTCAAGGATGAGCTTTTCCAAGACTTCACTGCAGAATGGGAGTAAAGTTCAGAAGACAAGTTGAAACTGCAAAGAAGTGTCCCTCATATGTGAAGGTTCCCTCATTTCACACCCTGTGGATGTCCAGGCCTCCTTGGGAGCGGGCACCCTCTGAGCCAGCACATTCCATCAACCACGGGGACATTCTGACCCAATACAAATGCTAAACAGGCACCCAAAATGACTCTGAGGGGGCCACTTGGGATTTTCTTCTGCTCCAGACAGTCTCCTAAAATGCTTTCAGGTGAAGAACTACTGTCTGGAAGAAGCAACACATTGGATTTAGTTTCAGCTGCTTGCTCCATTTGTACATCTTTGGTAAACTCTCCAGAAAAATAATCCATTTGCTATATTGCACAGCTTTCTGAAGGAAACCCTTTCAGCTGAAAGTTACCTAAAGYTGAGGCACTCTAGACCAAGGCCAGACATTAAAAACTATTAGGGCCACAGAAAATGCTACACAGCCCCTTATCTGGAGAACACGCAACCTGTGAAAGCTTCGTTCTTTACAAGCTGCAAATACACCGGGGTAAAGRGCCACAGCGGGTGACAGATTAAAACACTCACCCATCCCGCCATGCTCAAGCACTTACCAAAGTTTAGGAAGACCAGCTTTGCCTGAATAGCAGGGCAGAGCTTTACCAGAAACGGAATGGCAATGTACACCCCCAGCAACCAGAACAGCAGTCTCCGCAACCGGAACCAGAAACCAGAACGCCTGTGGAAAAGGGGGAAAAAAAGAAAAATCTCAGTACAGCAGGAGTCTRATGAAGCAATTTGCACCATGCCTGGTGCGTTTGACAACTTGCCATTTCATTTATTCTTAAAAAAACCCAAACATTACTTTTCAAACTGTTTACACAGTCTCAGGTGGTGAGAGAAGCAGAAGCAACCAAAGGGTCAGCTGACGATATGCAACCTAGAAAAAGGGAACAGAAACTCCTCACTGATATTTTAAAACTACTTTGTAACAGCTCTTTTTTTTTTCTGCTGATTTTACAGATTTCAGGATCTCTGAGAAGACGTAGCATACAATGAAGACAGCTTTGTCTCCACAACCAAGTCTCACCACATTTCCCACTTAAATCACTGTAAGGTAGATTTTAAGTTAGACCTTCATCAATTTTGATGAACTGCTTGTAATGAGCCTGCCTTACCTAGGCTGATAAAATTACACAGGACTTCACCTACAGACTGGAAAAGAGGTTATACCTTGTCCAGCTAACAGGATTCCTACCTTTCGATGCCTTGGAAAGCAAGTCTAAGAAATAAAACACCAAAGATTTTACACCAAAAGTTTTCTTATTGTTATGTCCTGTTTGGTGATCCTGGGTACCAACACATTTAACTTGCTTCAAAGCAGCACTTAAACATTCCTGACCACTGTCAGCTACTGCAAAGGCTTGAACAGAGGGCTCGCAGATGGCCCCTGTTAGCATTTCTCCAAGAAATACCGGTGCGTGGTCGGAGACGGGATGGAAAGAGTTTGGCCATGTACCAAAATATCAGCTTCAGCTGCAATAAGCCCCTGCTGAGAGGTTCAATGGACCTTAATGCCCCTATGTCCCTGCCCCAAAAGTCTTCATTCCCTAAGGGAAGCAGGGACAAGGGATGGTCAGGGAAACTGTGCAAAACTGGATGTTTTGGAAGAGAGGTAGTGAGGACCAAAGCCTTAGAGCGACATGCTCTGCCCCCACTGACCACAGCTTGGACACAGGGCTCCTGCGTGTCCCGTCAGACCTATCGACCCCATGTCGAGGTCCTTGCAAGCCCTGGTGCGGACAGGAATCTGCTGTGAAACACTGCAAGGTCGGCCAAAGAAGCCTGCCCACCCAGATGGGCCAAAAAAAAAAAAAAAAATCCAAACCCAGGATTTGGCAAAAAATATCCAAAGTTATTTGGACTAACCACAGCTGTAGCACTTTCCTCTCTCAAATTCAAGTCAGCTACCTACAAGTACCCACACAGACCCTGTATTTTTGTGGAGAACATTAGGTTGTCAGGAGAGAAGGGCAGGAGGGATCAGTGGAGCAGTTGAGCCCTCAGGGCATATTTAGCTTTCTCTAAGAAAGTATCTTTTTGTAAAATCTCCTTTTCTGGTCACTCAAAGAGCCTCCTGTGTCCTCCCACCTGCCCTAACCACCTGCGATGACTTTGCACTAAGAAGGGGCAATGGTGACTTCCAGCAAGCTCTTCCAGGTTCCAGTGCCCCTGCGCTGGAGAACTTGTGCACAAGACAGGGATTGACCCTACAGTTGGGCATCAAGGCTAGTGGCCAGCAATAAACYTTGCCATCTATTCAGAGCATCACCAGGATCAGCTCTGACACCTCTAGGCACAATCAGAGCTCACTGAAATGCAGGTCTGGAGGGTATCCAGGTGGCAAAAACACTTAGCATGACCTGGGCACAATTTTATGGAAGTCAGGAACAGAAAGTGCTGATGAAGGCAATGTTCTCCAAGCAACACTGTCAGACCTTAGGAATGATTTTAGTTTCCTCTCCCTTCAGAGGACTTGATTGAAATATCCCTCCCTTAATATATGCCAAATGCTAATCAGCAACCTGACATTTACACCTCATCACCACGGAGATGTCTGTTTAAAATGCAACCGGGACAGACTCTTGACCCATCAATAACCACCTTCTCTTCTGCTGACCATGCTGAGATAACGCACCAAAGTGCAGAAGTAAAATTATCTGGAAAATCTTTAGTGAGCAATTTAGCTAAATGAAATTGCTCCTGCTCTGTGGAAAAACCTATCTCATGAAATGAATGTGCTGCACAGGGATTTGTTCTKCCGTGTGCTCAAGCAAAAGCAACGAGAAGACACTTTTCACACTCCCCTTGCCACCACCATCAGCTCAACACAGTCACCACAGCCAGTGGGAAAAAACAGTATGTACTAGATTCTGAACAGCCGAGCAAGCAACCTCTCCCTTTGGCAGTAAGGCCCATTTAAACAACATCAGTTTCACTGCAAAGGAACTCGGAAGTCCAAGGCAAATGCCCCAAAGTCATCTTGCTACATCTGGGATTGAGCAACCATCTAGCAAAGCTCATAAGCAAAGTCTAGTGCTGGAAACAAGACAAATCCAGTGGCATTGCACTTGTTCTCACAAAACTTTTCCATAAAACAATCAAAAAAAAAAAAAAATCCCAGAGGCTGCCTTGTTTCTGCATCTTCAGCTTTCTGTTTCTTTATTTAATTGCTAAAAATCTTTGCTTTTTGAAAGACCTGAAAAAGAAGAAAATTAATAGTCTACRAGATTCCTTCGCTGCTGCTTAGTAATAGCCATAAAAAAATAATAAAACACTTCCTTATACTCCTGAACTTTGGCACTTTCCGAGGAAATATTCCACTGCTGCACTCTGCGCCTTTCCAAAACTGAACCGCAGGATCGCCACTTTTGCACCCATTTCTATGGACATTGGGAATTCTGAAGGCTTTAAGCTCCTGGAAAGCAAACTAACAAAAATGAACGAAGACACGACTTTGTGAACAGGAATGCAGAACACACATTGAAAAACGGCATAACAGTTTTGCCAAACGCTGCAGTTCCCACAAGCTGTTTAACCAGAGGCTCTGAACAAGGCCACGAAAACACACAAACCCTAAACCTGCAATTCGCTTGTATATTATATTGCCAGGCCACGAAAACACACAAACACAAAACCCTAAACCTGCAATTTGCTGGTATATTATATTGCCATTTCCTCTGCAGCAGAGACAAGCAGCTAGCAGGCGAATAGCAAGCTGGAACTGAAGTCAGWCGGAGAATAAATTGTTCCTGCCACGCGCTATGTGCGTGAAGGACACGGTACCCTGGAGAGGAATGGTACTGACCTTGCAAAAGGCAACCAAACATTTCAGCTATGAAGAAGATCTAGAAAAGGTTGGTTGTGTTTGCTGACTGCTTCCATCACAAGTGCAAGCCTAACTCCATATAAAACGAGGCAATAAAAGCRAGAGTTGTTACACTGCTTACGGTGAAACACCAGCCAGTTAAACCAAGGAAAATTTCCATTCTCTGCCATCAGAGAATGCAAATTCACGTCCAATCCAATGCCTCTCGTCGCTGCAGCAGCCGAGATGCTGCACAAGCCTCCTAAATACTGGCCTTAAAGCATGCGGAGGGAGAAAGCCTTTCATCTTCAGAGGCCTGCACACAAAAAGCTACCTGCCCACCGCCTCGTGCACTGTACTCCGGGCTCCAGCAGCCTTCTTCATTTGATTTTCCCCAGAAGCAAACTGCGAGGACGTTCTGCTCTTTCTCTTTTCATTAAAGGACGAACGATCAGGAATTATGGCCTTGATGCGGCAAAGGCAAATAGTTTAAAACCTGCAGGTTTTCATAAAATAAAGGGTTGTTCTGAGAATGCCTTCAAACGATCCTTTTTTAATCCCTCAGCGTATATGTGATACCTTAAGCAGAGCCACCAGCAGCAGCAGGCAAAGGTGTCACAGCAGAGACAACAGCTCAAACGAGCATCGCCCAGGTGTTAGCCCAGCCAAAACAAGTTAGCGTTTGGCAACTTCAGGTTGTTCCAACCACAAGAAAATATTCCCGGCTACTATAAYTTACTCTTTGCTTTCCAATTATTGTGGTGTATTAAAAAATATATTCATTTATGTATTTATTTATTTATTTATTCTCCTAAAGTGTGTGTTGTGTTTCTAAAGCAGAGTAGGAAGCCAAGCATTAGCTTATTTCTCTGTTGGCAGCAGCATCACAAGGACTGAGCAAAAGCTGCATACACAGCTCTGGGAAAATGTGGCATTCCAGTAAACAGAAACCAGAATATTTTCTCTATACGCTAACTGACACTTTCTCTAACCCCCTTATTTTCATTAACCGTGTCCTATGTAGCATCCTATGCCTAGGTACATTGGCTGCATGAGCCCTAATGGATTTCTATTACCCTAAGGGAAAAAAACCCATCCTTCCACATCACATTTAAATCAGAGAAGTTAACTAAGTTCATTTGCAGGTTCTACATCAGTAAACCACGCAGCATCTATGCCATTCTCCCTTCACTCCCATACGTGTGTGCAGCCTGCGGTTGTTGCCACACGTTCACATGGCCTCAAAAAGAAGTTCCTCATGACAAAGGCACGCACTGCACCTCAGCGAGTGCGTGGGACACAACACGAGCTTCTCACATCCCTGAGCTTCTCAAGCAGGCAGTAGGTTTGCCCAGCCGTGGTCCCAATGCCCACGCCAGGAAGCCRCCTCCAGGACCTTCGCCTTTGGCGGTGGCCGCGGCTGGCAGCGACCACGCACGGTGGCCTAAAACACACTCATCTGCAGCACCATCCTTTCCCTGCAAAGCCTCCGTTCAGGGCACATTTTCTACCGATCCCAAGCCCTTCTTAGGGGCTCTCTGCCCTACAGCAAGCTGTTGCCTACAAGGCATCTCCTTTTGGATGGGGTCAAGGCTTCAGGCAGGGCTGCTCCATGGAGCAGGAGCACAAACCTCACAGGAGGTTTGAAATTTCGTAGGCTCCCCAGTCCAGCTGATGTCCTTACCAAGTTGCCTTTCACAGCCTAGACTCTTTCTGTGGCTCCTTCAGATTCAATTATTAATTGTTAACTCAAAAAGATCAAGAGCAAGAAGGGAGTCCTCTAAGCAACTATTTACAGGACTTGGCATCCACCTCTTCAAAAGATACAACCACAAAAGCAGGAGGGTACCTCAGGAAATCGGGGTTAT